CTTACCCGTCAGCTGGCAAACCCTCTAAGCCACGGCTTTTAGTGCACCGTGATAGATTGAGGCGCATCCCACACAACAAAACACACACTGGACACTTGTCAAACACACACCCTGTGTCCTATTACAAAAACTGCATACACATCTTCTGCTAAAAGCACAGCCGCTCCTGCTGCTTAATGACCGCTTGCCTCTCTGCTCTTAGACTGAGCAGCGGTCAGCGTTCCGCACATTCCACAAAAGAAGCAGCGAGCAGGACCTTTCCCTGGGACTGACCAGACCGAAAGAGGCAGCATTCTCAACCACCAGTCAGTCTAAATACGATCATCTGATCAGCGCCAGTTTCGACATGCTATGAGTGCCTAAATAGCACTGGACCGGAAGACGAAAACATAACACACAGCCAATTTACACACCCACAGCGGCAACCACCCTTTTCACGTGATTTAAAATACGGGGAGTCTGCTGTATACCCCGCCCCCTCTCTCACTTAACCTATAATCTGCACCGAGACGATTGTGATGCCGAAAAGTAACCAAAACCACTAACCAAACTAGTAACAAGCCAAAACCTATTGAGTTACTATGTGGTATCGTATAAAAGATCGATCTGCTCCCCATATATAGGCCAAACGTGCAAGGCGTAGATCCAATTCCCAAACCCACCGCAATTGCCGTTGAAAAGAAAACACAATCCCTCAGTCCCCTTTCGAGGGGACGTGGCAAGTTAACTGCAGAAAAGATGCCTTGGCCAAGCCGTTTTATGAATCTTCCCAGCAGCTAGAGTTCGGGTATTATTCTCAACTAACCAAAACCTTACATGGGGAAGGTAAGGATAGGTTGCCAGCTAAGAAGACCTCCATGTGCATCTTCTCTTTTACTTGCTCCAGTGAACCAGGCTTTATTGGTCGCGCCTATCCAAAAGAATAAAGGAACACCCCCCACGGCTGAAAAAAGGTGAATTCAGGAGCATAAACAGCTCTATTCTGGCGTACATGGTTGATTCCGGACATCGTGTGGACCCAAACGAAGCCTTCGGAGTGATCTACAGGATCCCACAAAGCTATCCAAAGTCCCTGGATCAGTGTTTGTTAGCAACAGCAGAAGCGACCGCTATCAGATTGATGAAGCCGGCGTTGTGTGCACAGAAGAACTCCCTACAAGCTCCGCGTCTGGCATGGCCCACGTGCTCTGTTTGACTCCCTTCCCTCCTCCCTCCTTCCTCCCCTCGACTGCTCCGCCAAACCCTGCCCTCATAGCCAGCCTTTTCTTATCGACCCCACCCCCTCCCCTATTCCCACGACTCACTTGTACAAAAAGACGAACACGTTTTAACTTGTGCCCCGTTCCTATATAAATGTACTGGCCTGACGAGAATTTATCGAAAGTATACGTACGCTCGCCAAACTATTCTTAGAAATTCCCAAAGCATATACCGACCATACTGGGTTCCAGCCGAAGAGAAAAGAAGACTCATAGTTTCACCTAAATGTAGGACTCTTGGGTAATAATGAAATAAGATAGGGGGGAATTAATTTACAGTAAGTGACACATGTACAAAAGGTACTGAGGCGCTCAAGA